CCATTAAAATGACAAAAAAAAAGAACCCCAATAGTCCAAGAGAAAGGAATGGAGGCCACAAAACAACAGCATTGGATGACAACACTCTACATACTGAGCTGTGACAAGATTTTACAATGTTGTGGCCAGACCTGATGCTCCTCAAACCAAACCTGTCCTGCCTACTCCCTCCCTTGTTAGTGTATCTTCTATGCTGTTTGCCAATTGTAGAGATACTGGACCAGATGGGCCATAGTTCCTTTATGTTCTTTTGGTTATTAGTTTTTGAGTTAATGGGCCTTTAATCTTGTGGGCCTGTTAACCTTTTTCTTTAAGTTTATAAGCAGCCACCCTGTAGAAGGTAATCTTGTAAATTACCTCATTAGTTTCTAATTACGTTTAATAAAAGTAAATGGGGGCTGGAGAGAATGGCACAATTGACTCTTTCTCTTCTCCCTCTTCTTCTCTCCTCTTCTCTCTTCCTCTTGCACTGATTCTCTCATCCTTTTTGCTGTTTTTCTTTAATTAAACAAAGGACATATTTCTGGTTGTTTTTCATCTTCAATCTTGGAGCCCACCTGAAAAGTTGTTCAAGACCAAAGAAAGAGCTCTAGAGTCTCTTTGGTAATTTGTTAAGGTCCGTGGATCTTCCTCCATGGTTTCCATCAACCTAATAACTACTTAACAGTCCCCTTCCACTAGCAACTCACTCTAACCTGAGATGCAGGCTAATTTTAAGCCTTGAAGTAGTGAGAGGAGTTCCACTCTAAGAGATATTCCATCTCCAACTGGACTTAAATACCTGAGCAATATATTACCCATATGATTAGCTATTGTAAAACAGTTGGTCAATTAAAAAAGGCCATTACCCAATGTTGGTCCCAGCTATCTGGGGTCCTGGGAGGGGTGGATTGGATATGGTCCTAAGCTTTGGCATTTTTTGCACAAAGTGGTCTTACTCAGGCTCAAACCCGCATTCTCACGCTTGACAGCCCAAGATCTTACATTACATTAAATAATGGCCCCTTACCTTTTCTATATGTTAAGATTATGCAAGTATCTTTGAAACAGTATTGCATGGACTCTCCTAAATGGATGATCCATCAGTGCTGAACACAAGTGGGATTCAGAGCCTTTATAGATTCTTGAAGTTGAAGATACTTCTACATAACACTTTCCTTTTTCTCCCAAGTTGGAGATACTTCTACATAACACTTTCCTTTTTCTCCTTACTCATTTGACATAAATGAAAAGCTACTTCATATGATGAATGTCATTTTTCCCATAAAATGTGGCGAAGTGCAGAGGGGTTGTTGAGTCTTTGGGATCCTTCTATCTGCAGTTTAATTTCTGCTCATATTGGAAGATTCTCAATCTCATTAATTGTGAAACTTCCTGATGGTAATATTTGTCAAGCCACAAATGTCTATGGTCCGACAGATGGAATCTTTTTTTCGTTTGTTGATCAGCACCCGACAGATGGAAATCTTCAAGAGGATTTTTGGAAAGAATTGGTTGAAGTGAAGGGTAGTCTATCTTATCCATGGGTCATTGGTGGAGACTTCAATGTCATTCTAGCTGCTGTAGAAAAAAAGACCAGTGGTAGGAGGTCAAGAGGGATGCTTCAATTTTCTGATTTCATCAACAGATTTGAGCTGATTGACTTCCCTCTTCAGGGCAGCCGATTTACTCAAACTAACAATCAAGACACTCCCACCCTGGTGAGATTGGACAGGTTTTTGGTGTCCTCAAATTGGGAAGAACTTTTTCCTGATTTTAGGCAGATTTCTCTCCCTAGGCCTATCTCAGATCATAGCCCAATTCAGCTGGTCTGTGGATTTAGAGGAAAAATCAGCGCACCCATCAAGTTTGAAAATGCCTGGTTTGAAGATGAGAAGATTATTCCCTTGTTCAAGACTGTATGGAATGATTTGCAGGTGGCAGGTACTAGCCCTTTCATTTTTGCAAACAAACTTGGTGCAGTTAAGAAGAGGCTGAAAATCTGGAAAGCGGAGAATAATTTGAATTCTGAAACTAAAAAGAGAAATTTGTTGAGTCTTATTAAGGAAATTGATGCTGCAGAAGAAGTAGGTCCTTTAACTGAGGAAAGCAAAATGAAGAGGTCTCAAGCAAAAATCAAGAATGATAAGTTGGCAGTAAAAGAAGAAATCAAGTGGAGGCAAAGAGCTAAAGTGGCCTAGTTAAAAGAGGGGGATAAAAACACTCATTTTTTTCATAAAATGGTGAATGCCAGAGCAAGAGTTTCTTTAAAGGTAATGGCTACTAATTTCTATAAAAATGGCTACTAATTTCTATAAAAACCTCTATAAAGAGAATTGGCCTATCAGACCCTTTCCAAGAGGCCTTCCTTTAAAACAGTTGAATGAAGAGCAGTCCTATCTCATCAAGAAACCCTTTTTGGAGGAGGAAATTAAAGTGACCATATCTGTGTTGGCGGCTGATAAGTCACCAGGGCCAGATAGGCTTACCAACCTATTTTATGTCAAATGCTAGGATTTTGTGAAGGAAGATATTTTGAGAGTATTTCAGGCATTTTATGATAATGCTTCCCTACAAAGAAGCTTAAATACTACCTTTATCACCCTCATCCCAAAAATTGAAGGGGCGGTTAACATTAAAGATTTCAAGCCAATCAGTCTCTTACATAGTTTCTACAAGATCCTAGCTAAAGTACTTGCCGAGAGAATGAAAGGGGTGTTAGGGAATGTTATTCATATAATCAAAGTGCTTTTGTACTAGGCAGACAGATGCTTGATTCTGTTCTATTTGCAAATGAGCTTATTCACTCAAGAAGAAGAGAGGGCTCCCCCGATTTGATTTGCAAACTGGACATTGAAAAAGTCTATGATCATGTCAACTGGAGGTGTATTGATTTGGTGTTGCAGCATATAAAGTTTGGGCAGAAATGGAGAAACTGGAGAAAAGTCTGTGTATCCACTTCCAAATTCTCAATGTTGGTTAATGGTCAGTCAGCAGGGTTTTTTGATAGCTCTAGGGGATTAAGACAAGGTGATCCCTTGTCGCCCTTGCTTTTTATTTGTGTCATGGAGATTCTCACTTTGTTTTGTAGAAAGGCTGCAAAATCTGGTGAGTGGAAAGGAAGTTGGCTGCATGGAAGGCTAGATATCTCTCAATTGGGGGTAGGGTTATCCTGATAAAAAGCACTCTTTCCAATTTACCTACTTACTTTCTTTCTCTCTTCCCCATCCCAAACAAAGTTGCCAAAAGATTGGAGCAGATCCAGAGAAATTTTCTTTGGAGGGGGGTTGGGAGGAGGAGAGAAAAGTACATCTTGTAAGCTGGGATCAAGTTTGTCTTCCTAAGGCTGATGGTGGGTTAGGCATTAGGAAAGTGAAGAATTTCAATTCTGCCCTGCTAAGTAAGTGGATTTGGAGGTTCTTGGCTGAAAGGGAGGCTTAGTGGAGATCTCTCATTGCAGGTAAATATGGGGTTGAGTGGGGTAACTAGAGATCCAGGGATCCCCCCCTAAGTTGGGGTAGTTCCCCTTGGAAATCTATCATGAAAAACTTCTCTTCTGTGTTCATGGAAGGGATTTCTGTCAAGATTGGTAATGGGGATAGAACAAAGTTCTGGAAGGACCCTTGGTGTTTGTATGGGACTCTAATCTTTTCCTCATATTTTTCAGTGTGCTTTTAACCAAGAAGCTTCTGTGGCCGAGTACTGCAGTGTGACAGGTGGGTCTCTAACTTGGACTCCCATTTTTAGAAGGGATCTGTTTGATTGGGAATTAAAAGAGATTGTGGTCTGATGGCACTTCTTCAAAATCAGAAGATTGATCAGTAGTTGGAAGACAAATGGAGTTGGAAATGTAATTCAAATGGTGAATTTTCTGTCAAGTCCCTTGCCTCTAAAATGGGTAATTTGGGTCCCACTGATTTTCCTGCTTCTCAGATCTGGAACACTATAAGTCCTTCAAAAGTCAACTTTCTGATTTGGACGATGGCCCTTGATAAATGTCTTTCCAGAGTTAATCTGGTGAGGAGGGGCGTCCAGGTTATGGATCTTTCATGTAGTTTTTGTGGGCAACATGCTGAATCAATAGATCATTTATGTATTCATTGTCCATTTTCCTCTCAGATTTGGGGACACTTTCTCAGAGTCTTGGAGTTCAGTTGGGTAATGCCTGGATCGGTTAAGGATCTCCTCTGTTGTTGGAATGTGAAAGGCCTAAGCAAGAAAGGGAGCCTGGTGTGGAGGACTATTCCTGCTGCTGTCTTATGGTCCATTTGGGCTGAGAGGAACAGTAGAATTTTCAGTAAGAAAGCTAAAAGTCCTGAAAACATCATACAGAGAGCTGTGGGCAAGCTGATTTCTTGGATATCTGTAACTGACGAGTTCAAGAATCTGAATTTGTTTTCTTTTTCTTGCTCCAATTTCTGGTGGAAAGTGTAACTGCTGTGGTTTTCAGGCTGCCCTTCTGGGTCTGAACCCAGCTTGTATGTTTTTGAGCTGAATAAAATTACTTTACCTTTCCCAAAAAAAAATTCCCATAAAATGTTACTAATATAAACTTTCAGACCCTTTTTCTATAGGTATATGATGTTAGGATTCAAAATATATTGAGAAGTTCACTATTATTAATTTCTCCATATGCATGTCCACAAGTCCATGGCTTTTGTGGTGYTGTGTCAGACTCCTGGACAGATGGTGGATTCCAATTCTTGTGTCTTGTCCATGCAAACTACAGGTAAACGCACAAATAATGCAAATGAATTTCCCAAAGTTAAAAMRCAGTAGGATACTGAAGTGAGAAATCCARAACATCCACAAAATGYCAAGTACAAAATACATGACCACATGTAATATTCTTCTTTGACAGTTACTACCCATCCAAAAAAATATTGAAGTTCATCATCATCCATGCTTTGTTCTAAAACATAAATCATCAAGTACCATAACCATGATTCTATGGAATAACTCCACTGACAGTATGCACCATTGAAAGAAAGGCCAAAGTTGAGAGCAACAGCAAAACATACCTCATCTCTATCGAAGTTGTCACCACTATGAGGATCAAACAGAACGTCACCAGTTGCCAGCTCAAAACATATGCAGGCAAGGGACCAGAGATCTGCTGAAGTAGAGTACTTGGATCCAAGTATAACCTCAGGACATCTATACTGTCTTGTCTGAATGTCACTTGTAAACTGTTTATATGTCCAACAGGCATTCCCAAAGTCAACCAATTTGCACTTCAGGTCCACCGAAGCCAAAAGCTTCTGCCTTGTGGAGCGGCTCCCTCTCCTATGACCCTGCTTTCCTTGATGAACTTCCTTTACCCCATCAGCATTTGATGAGTTCCTTTTGCTGACAGAACTACCAGGTTGGTCCTCCGCAGTATTGGTCTTTGCGTTTACATCACCAGAGGAATCCACTGCACCAGATATTTTGGGATCCGTCTCAGTTTCCTCAGAAACTTCCTTCTCAGAACAACCATGAGCAGCTTGTTTAGCCTTTCTGCGGATCTTTTTCTTCTGGTTCTTTGTCAAATCCCCATTTAAACTCTTAACATCTTTTGAAGCCTCAAACACAGGCTTGTCCTTAATAGTTGGGAGAATGAGAGGAGCACCTGACTTCCCGGGATCTTTAGCTGGGTCTATCATGGACAAGAGTAAGATGTTCTCTGGCTTCAAATCAGTATGTATAATTGAGAGCTGGCGATGCAAGTAATCCAAACCCACCAAAATGTGAAAGCAAATTTCCTTAACCATGTGGAGTGGCATCCCACGATAGTCACTATACTTAATAAGCGTCAAAAGATTATCACCCAGATACTCAAAAACCATACAGACATGCTGCCCATTTGGACCGGAGTGCTTAAAGTGATCCAAAAGCCTTACGACGCACTTCTTGTCATCTGGGTCCCCTTCTGCAATCTGCTTGAGTATGGTTATCTCATCCATTGCTGCCTCAGTGTAGTGCTGAGCGCTCTTTTGAACTTTCAGAGCTACATATCGCTAACGAATATGCAGAAATAATAGGGAAAAGGAAGAAAAACTCAATATAGAATTCTCTGAAAACCAACGAACTAAAGAAAGGTGGATTCTTTTCACATAAATTACATAGAACTATAAAGTTAACAAGTATCAGAAAACAAGGAAAACAGAAGACAAGGAAAGATATTAGGTATTGGAAGCATACAGAATGCTGAGTATCCCAGGCAAGCCAGACAGTGGAGAAATGGCCCCAGCCCAGCTTGCTCTGCACGACGTAGCAGCCGTTCTTGAATGTATCTCCGATCCGAACAGCGTGGTATCCTCCACGCCTGTAATCCTCCGTTCCTTCGTCTTCTGATGTGTAATCGCTGCTCTCGCTTCGGTCCTCCTTTTGGGGGTCCTCCATGAAATGACCCAAAAACAACAAAGTTTAAAAGATTTGAAGTGGCCGAATCACCCGCTTCAGCAAATCAGTCCTCGATTGAACCCAAAAAGGAAATCTCCACCAGAACCTCTCCCTCGTTGCCCGGACCAAGAGATTTGTGCTCAAAGAAGAAAACTAGGGTTTTGCAGGTAAAATGTGAAGAAAAAACAAATTGAAAACGAGAGAAAGAGGGACTTAGAGAAATGGAAGAAAGAAAAAGAAAGAAAATGACTGCTCTACCTCTACCTCAATCAATTCCTGTATATATATATATATATACATAAAGAAAAAGAGAGAGAGAGAGAACAAAAGTGGAATGTATATGATGTTTTGTCGAGAAAGAGAGCAGCTAAAGATGATGGTGATGATGACTGGTTCGTAATTGTAACTGGGTTGTTGCTCCTTCTAAGCTCTAACCACCTCTCTGTGTAAATTACGATTAAAATTTACTAAAGATGATATTTTGTCAAACAAATAAAGGAATGAATGTACAGGAAAATCGTAGGTTTGCAAATTCAGAGCTGTCGCGCGCTTTACAATCTCAAGACTGCAACTGTGCAACTCGTATGAACTCATTCCGGAGATGTTTTTGGGCAGCGGTTCTCATACATAGAATCAATCAAAGCTAAGGAGAAGCTTTTGGGGCCCGTTTGAAAGGGCTTAAGTTAAGCAGCTTAGCGGAAGCGGCTTTTCGCGCTTTTACCAAGTGTAGGGTGTCTTTGCAGTGGGTTTTCTAATTTCTACCCAAAAAAATAATTTTTTATTACTCAAAAAGGTCAAAAACATGTTTTCTTCTATTTCAAAAACTCATTTGTCAAACCTTGCATTTCATTGTCACCAACAAGATTTTGTTTGTTTTATACGATTTTAATTTTATAAATAACGAGATTATAGAATCAAGTGTGAGCCCCAATTTTTCTTGAAATGTAAGCAAGAAAGATTGTTCTAAGCTTCATTGTCAATCTTTTTTTAAATCAGGCTGCTATGGATTTTACTTTTTGGGTAAATTGCATATTAATATCTTATATTTTGGGGAATGTCCCACTTTAGTACTCAAGCTTCAAAATACCTCTTTGTAGTATTATTTGAACTCTCAAAAACTATTAATTTAGTTTAAAATCGTTAACTATCGTTATATAGCATGTGAAAACATGCAAATATCTTTGGAATTTTGAATAGGTAAGAGAAGCATAAATTTGAAATGGGCATAATAGTCATGTTTAAATCCCTTTTCATTGTGATTGAGCACTACTATTCACTTTATGCCCTAACATTTTTACCAAAGAACCAATGTTTTATTGTCAAAGAAATTACATGAAAAAATGTCGTCCGAGAAGAGGGATTTCGTCATCGGAGAAGACAATCAAGGTAAGATGATCTCAAAAATATTAAAAAAAAGGTAACTTTTACATTTGAAAAAAAAAATACATCACACGTGTGGTCACATGATATATAGATAACTAATAGTAGGTATTAAGTTGTTAGATTTGAGGAATTCAAGTACTGCAATGGCAAGTTTTAAAGCCTAGGTATCAAAGTGAGACTAGCCCCAAAGTATAGGGTACTAATCTACAATTTTCCTTTACTTTCTTTTTTTTATTTTTTGTTTTTGTAAGTAACACAATGAAACTTTTAAAGGAAACAAATAATCAAATGAAACTTAAAAAAAAAAAGTTGAGAAAGCAAGAAATACATAGTAAATTAGTAACCCATAATTTAGAAAGCCCAAATTTAGGGCATATTGGAGATGGCAATTTGACCTGCCCCCAATCAAGGTTCTAGCCCACCCATCCTGTCCCAGTTGGGGTGGGCCTTTTGGCCATTGATCAGGTTCAAAGTGGGACCAAGGGATGAGGGGGATGGTATTTGAGAGAGAGAGAGAGAGAGTTGTTCTAGGTAGGTTTCAAAAAAAAAAAACAAAGATTTGCAAGTAGGAATGATCGGAGCAGCATGGGGCAAATTTAGGGATCCTCGTTTCCCTTTGAAATTTCTACCCCAATTTGGGCATAGGGTGGGAATGGAATGAGGTATTTAAGTTCGAGATCGGGGACGGGGCATGCAAAACCTCGCTACACTCGACCCTATCACTATTTGTAGCTCATGTGAAACATGATTAGAATGGGTATTAATATTTAAAGTTATTAACAGGCCCTAACTCTCATAGCATTTGTGTTACCTTGAAAACCGGTCCATAGTTAACACATCAAACTGACAAAGGCTTCAAAAAATGTAACACCCTATTAAGCCATGTGTATCATTCGGGGGGATAAATTGCTTGCACTTCTCCTAGGGTTTCTTTGTCAAAACACTAGGACCTTTTCTTTCAAAGCCCGGGCGAGGAGACAGGTAGTATGCCCGCCTACGCCCGAAGAGGGGACCCACTTGCTTCTTAAGTATCAAGATTAAAGAAAAAATCTCCAAGTCCAACGGAAAGCTCTCTTCGCAAAATAAGGAGATTGTCCCCATCAAATTTCGAATGGAGTTTGGGTGAAGTTGGCCGACCGTCACGCCAAAGTGATTCAAGACTTCGACAATGAGGGGATGGAAAGGCAATTGCAGCCCCGCGGCGAGCTGCTCCCGGAATATCACGATCTCAAAGGCTTCAAAAAATGCAACACCCTATTAAGCCATGTGTATCATTCAGGGGGATAAATTGCTTGCACTTCTCCTAGGGTTTCTTTGTCAAACACTAGGACCTTTTCTTGGGTTTATAATTAGCTTATTCCTTGTAGTCAAGGTTTTAAAAGGCTAAAGGCATAGCTGAGGCCTAATGGCCCAAAAGGTGAGAGGCATAAGCCTTAAAGTTTAAGAAAAAATTAATTAAAGATTGTAAACTGATGAAATTAACATATAATATGCCAAATTAAAATGCTAGAAGGTAAATATATCCATAAACTAGAAATTTATAAGAAATAAGTTTTGGTAGTTAAGAATTAAATAAAATAATAACTAATCAACTAACAATTATAAACATTTTACATTTCATGTAAAAAATAATTTATAAGCAATATTATTATTATTATTATTATTATTAAAAAGAAAAAATATCCATTAGGAGAAGAAATGAGAAAAATAACAAACTTGGAACATTACATTCACAACAATAAGAAAAACCTCACATGATTTATTTAAAAGAAACTAAGAACTTGATTAGTCCTTTAATCCTTTTTGCATTGAACTCTCTTAAAACAACAAGAAAAATTAATAGAATTTGATTTGTCTTATTGTTTTTTCATTTTATTTTTTTATTTGGCCCATAATTATTGAAGTGTTTTTTCTATATGTTTTAAATTATAAAAATACATATTTTTTGCATTAAATTACTAATTAACCATTGATATTTGAGGCTTACGCCTTTTTACGCCTCAAACCTTAAGGCTTGAGTTAGGCCTCATTTTCACAAAGACTTAAGCCTTACATCAAAGTTGTGAGGCTTAAGCCTTGAAGCAAAATTTGTGTGCCTCATGCCTCAAGGCTTAATCCTTTTAAAACAATGCATGTAGTTTGGTATGCATTTAATTGCAGTGCAATTTTATTTACACTAGTACAAATATATGGGAGTGAAAATGAAAAAAAAATGAAAATTCTGTTTTAATTTTATTCTGCTTTCAAGTCTTATTTTACTTCATTTGTACGGCAATCAAACAAAATATGGTAAAAGTTGAAACAAAATCAGAATTTGCACCCAAATCATTTACACTAAACATAGGCGAGGTTAAGGCTCAATTTGGAAAGAATACAAATATAAATATGTATAGTGCAAAACCTTGTATTTTTGTATTCCTAAACTATATATTTTACCTCTCTCAACCAATATGATGTCAAATTTACCCTTTTGACACCTTCTTTCATATCATATCCGCAAGAATACCCTTATTAATACTTTTCAAAGAGAAAAGCTTTACCCCGTATGTTGGACATTCCAACACAATAGAGGACCAAGGTTGAATCAGCATGTGTGCAATTAAAGAAGTGAACATTCTAGAAATAATGGTGTATCCAGCTAAATACATTCTAAAATGGAAATCAACATGTGATTTAAATAATTAAACAATAACATTCCAGAATAAAGGGCAAAATAGAAAAAAATAATAATAACCCAAGAAACTTCTGAAATGGGGACCCTTGACTAATCTATTCTCTCGCTCTCCGGTCCTTTCATCTCGACCTCTTCCCATTTCCCATGCTACCAATCACCATCCTTCTTCCGATGAACTGCATAAGTTCGATCCCTCATCAGAGATAGGATATGTAGACGCCCCTCCAGGAGTCCAATCATTTCTTTTTCCTTTTTTTTTTTATTTAACCACTCAATTAATTCCTCAGATTTTAGGGTTCTACAAGCTTTAAATAAGTCATTAACTAATAGTAAATACCTATCTCCATCTTAATTCTTTACTTCTTTTAGCCTCACTGTATACTGTATAGATCCAAATCAAACAGTCAAAATCGAATATTTTTAATTCACGGTTGTGAGCCCGCAGCATTGCTAATAGATGGATAATATCAAATGGAAAGCAAATCGTACGGTCAGAATTACTCATAAGTCATTAGGGGTGTTAATGGTATTGAAAATCCGATTTTGAATTTGATATTCAACATAATCGAATTGAATTCGGATAATTCGAATATTTAATCGGTCGAATTCAAATATGACCTGATTCGATTCAATAAATATCTGAATTTGACCGATTATTTAATTCTTATATATATATAATATTTTATATAATATATATAATAATTAAGTTATATAAATAATTTATATATTTATATATTTTATATCAATAAAATATTTATTTATATATTAATTATCTAAAATAACTAATTAATCGCATTCGAATTGAATCGAATATTCAAATATTTAATTGGATTCGAATTCGGATATTAATTTCCAATATCCATCGGATATCGAATCGAATTCGGATATTGGATTTTCTAATCGGATTCGGATTCGGATATTACGTTATCCAATTCAAAATCAATCCGTTTACACCCCTATAAGTCATCACGGCATGGAGGTCTAAGGAGATGATGCATGCCATGGCACGAGATGCATAATCAGTCACTAGAAGGGCTGCCCCTTGCGCCTCTTTAAACAGCTCTCGTATCAAATAAGCAGCTGAATCAATTTTAGTTGTATCTTCAATTATTCAAATGGGTCCCTAGTCATTTGAAGGGCTCTTTGTTGTTTCAGCACCTTTAAATAACTTATACAGTTACAGCTAACCAGTTTAATTCAGGGCCCGTTTGGGGTGAAGCTTCCTATGTCTTTCGCATTTTAATCTCGCGTGGAAAGACACGGGCAGTCTGCTAAACTGTCTTCGGGCTATCCAGATCTTATGTCAAAAGCTCAATGCGTCTTTTTGACTGTCAGAGCTATAAGAAGATCTTCTCAAAAAGACACACTAAACAGGCCCTGAATCTTCAGCTTTATCCTCCCAAATGGGCTAGATAAGAGAAAACAAAAAATGACTATCCATTTTTAGCATGTTTCACATATTGATGAATTGTATGCTTTCTCCAATTATAATGGATAAAACAAAGGGCAAATTTCTTAAACTACCCTTATGGTTTACCTAATTGATTAAGT